CACTCCCAAGAAAAAAGTTTAGAAATTGACAAAAACACCCCCACCCACCCACATTAGGCAAATTCCTGCCACCACCACCAGAAGGTGACCGAAATCTGGTATAATAGAGCACTACCAGCTGGATCTAGCCGGTAGCCGGTAGTGCGCCGATCTATCATTTTCCAGCTCCGGCTAGATCCACGGCCAAAGAGTTGACCATCAATGACAACCATATCTTTGGCCATCGTTGACGACCAAACATGGCCAAATATGGCCGTAGATCTGGCATTTTTTGACCAGATCCATAGTGGATCTGGCTAGAAAAGGCCATCTTGGTGTACGACATGCCATATCCAACCGATCGTGCATTGATATGGCGACTCCGACCACCCTCCGGTGGTGGTGGCCAGCTGTCGGAATTTAATGGGTGGATGAGGGCGTTTTTATAATTTTTTATGTTTTTATTACAGGAGTGTTTAGTTATTTAACAAACCTAGAGGTGTGTTTTTGTTAATTTTCAAATCCTACCTCGTTATTCTCATTCTCTAAAAATATCAAAAATACTATCTAAAATACTAAAACAAACACACCCATAGATATTTTTCCTTTTCACATTGTAAAGCATCTTGAGACGAAGTTGGGTTCACAATGAAGAAAGAAATCTTAAAATGCAAGAGTTGACTTGCAAAGACGACCCCAAGTGAAGAATGACGATAAAGTTGAAATTGAAGCCTGAGAAATTGCTGGGTAATTTCCAAGTTTGTAGACAACACTTCAATTGAACGACAAGGAATAGGATGATATAAGAAATTCATCTTGATATAATATTGGAAGTCATCAAGTCTTTGAGTGCAAAGGCAGTGTGAGCATTACGGCAAGACTATATATATATTTTAATTTTCGAAGGTATCCAGACTGGTTTACGTATATCTCAACTAATCCCTTGAAACTTTGGAATTACCCGTCGAATAAGAACTCCGATGACTGTTGTTATTAAAAACCGATGAAAGACTTAGAACTTAAAACCTCTTGAACACAAGATTATAAATTACTTCTTCAAAAAAAAATAAATAAGTTATCAAGTTTTTATTAAATTAAAAAAAGAAAATTATCGATTTTAAAAATAAATAAAAAATGTTTGAAAAAATGTTATCTACAAAATATCAAGTTTTTAGGGAAAGCCCTTCTCCAAAAATTATCTAGTTTTTTATATTATCTAAATTTTATCAAATTTTTACTAAAATAAATACATTATCAAGTTTTTATACGAAAAACATTTTTAAAAAATCAATTATTATTTTTTATTTAAAAATATTTTCTAAAACTTATCAAGTTTCTGCCTTTCTGGGGAAATCCCTTCTCCAAATTATCATTTTTTATTAAAAATATATAAAATATCAAGTTTTTGTTAAAAAGATTTTTGAAAAAAAATATTATCTACAAATTATCAAGTTGTAAGGAAATCCCTTCTCCAAAAATTATCAATTTTTTATATTATCTACAAATTATTATTTTAATTAAAAATATATAAAAATATCAGAATTTTATTAAAATAAAATTAAAATAGATTATCAAGTTTTTATTTAAAAACTTGAAAAAATATTACTTACAAATTAACAAGTTCTTTAGGAATCCCTCCTCCAATAATGATCTAGTTTTTTTTATATATATTATCCACAAATTATCACATTTTTATTGTAAATAAATAAATTATCAAGTTTATATTAGAAAAATGAAACATTATAAAAAATAAAAATTTATAAAGTTTTTTATATTATCTACAAATTATCAAGTTTTTGTGAAAAATAAATAAATTGTCAAAAATTTTAGGCAAAATTTTATTATGAAAAAGAAAAATTATAAAAAGCTTTCCGTTGCCGGGAATCGAACCCGGGTCTCCTGGGTGAAAGCCAGATATCCTAACCGCTGGACGACAACGGATCATTTAGTAAACCTTCTTTTAGGGTTTTTATATTTATTATCATATCATTTCACATTCCTCGCATTTTCTCTCTTATTTACTTGTTTAACTTTTAATTATGCAACTCTGCTCCAAATTTAATATCAGAAATTTTTCTAAGAACCAGAAAATCAGTGGCTAAAGCAAACCTTAGCCAGTTGTGTGAAAACTTTTGAGTCAAACTAGAGACTAGTAAAAGTAAGAAAAACTTAATAAAAATTAAAAATAAGCTACAAAATTTTAATCTATGATATGGGTATAAATACAGGTAACCATTGTAGATAAAATTACTTCATTCTTAATTATGCAATAATATTAACTATGTTATATAAAAGAAATCCTTTAATAGAATGAGTGTATATACACTCGTTCAATCACAACACCCGTATAAGTCACATACATTTGCATAACTTACGTAGTGATTATATGAACATACATACATCTATATTATAGAAAAAAATATTTACCATATAACACATAGTATAACAAAAGAGCAAGTACCCCATTTATGGTCTTACGAATAGTGTCAAAAATTGAAGGAAAAGTACAAGTCAATCTTCAGAAGTGCACAGCCGGCCAAGAAATAATAGTCACAAATCTCATGGAGGTGGAATATCCTTGTCCTACTCAACCTCGTGTGCTTAGTGGCTTTGTCATGAAGGATGACTGTATAACCAAATTTCTCAAGAGCAGCTGAGCAGGCAAGAGAGAGAATGGGGAATTGACAAATGCATTGTTATGTGACATATTAATAACTTGTGACCAGGGGAATTGAGATTTGACTGCCACCAACTATGTATCTGTTTTTGCAGACTATTGGACTCTCTTTGATCCATTCTACCCGAATCTTTATTCCGTATAAATATCCATACCCATTTTGGGATTTCCTCTAATCAAGAAAAATCCTAATATCAGGTTTATGCTTGTTATGCCTAAAAAAATCAGAGCTGACGTAGGCTTACATCAGCAAGGACCAATCAGAATTCAGAAAGGCATTGTGTTGTCCAAGTGCTACCACATTGTCCAAAAACAAAAGGAGTAAGGCTGTCATCCGCTTGGCAGGTAAAGGCCTGGCGAGTGAGTGGTTAAGAGTCATCCACTTGCCCAAGCCCTACGTGATTTAAGAATCTCTTCCATGCAACCGGCCAATGAGGAGCAGGGTAGGAACTACACGACACCTGTCCGCTGGCAGACCCATAATCATTACTTAAAAACCTCTTACTATAAATAGAAAGCTCCTCTCTATTTTTTGGGATTCTAGTTTTGATAACATAAACACTCTCTCTCCCTCTCTGTATTTCTGCTCTCTTAGATCGCCGAATGCGACCTAATTGTACTCTTTCATAAATAAAAAGACAGTGGACGTAGGATTCGCTTTGAGCATCTGAACCACTTTAAAAATTTTCTCCCTTTTATTTGTTTCATTTTCCAGTTCATCTGTAATTTTGAAGTCCGCTTAACACTTTTCAAATGCGAACAGTTGGTGACAAAATCAAGCATCAATAATGCTTAACAAAAAGAGATGAAAATGGGTATGCTTAAAGATTAGGTTTATGCTTTCATAAAGGATGGAGGAAGAATACTTATGCAATGAATCAAGTTGAGCCACACTTTTTGTTCTCTTTTGTTCTTCTCATTCTTTAAACATTGTTGCAGTAAAAAAAAATCAAAGGAAGAGATGAAGCAAATCATGAGATATAGTTGAGGTGCGTAAACTGGTCCGGATACCACCATTATCAAAAAATAAAAAAATAAAAAAAACCTATTTCTAAAATGAGAATGATTTGTCCATGTCTCATTATAGGAACCCTAATAGCTCCACATTGAGATAATCTCAACTACCACTATCACCACCACCACCACCACCACGTTTCTCTCAAAACTCTCTTTCTGACAATCTCCAATTATTTCCCAAGTAAATGGCCTGCTTGTGTATCCACTTTGCCTGCCTGCCATTCAATCTTAATCCTTTAGAGCACAAGGCTCATGGTGAATACTTTGACCCACCACATCCAACCATTTTCGGAACTCCCAATTGCAGCAAGATTCTGCTCATTTTCATATGTCCCCAAGGAGTGGACTGAAATCGGTATCTTAAGCTCACAAAACTCTGTTTATATGTTTTAATATAGACCAATTACAATATGCCAGGGCCATTATAATTGAGTTCAAATTCACTAAAAAGAATAAAGTATGTAGTTCATTGTCGCGTTGACCATATCCTTTATCAATGCAACTTTTTTGATGCAACATCAGCAAGTTGATGCGGGTCTGGAGTGCACCAGTCATTGGAATCTAATATACCAAAGTGAAGTGATTGGCATCATCTCAGGATACTGTAGAGTCGGTGATAGGAACCATTGTTTAATAGAACAAAACTTGGTTCCGAAATTGGATTGCTGAAAATGACAACCACTAGGTTGATCTCCAGGAAGTTTCCCATTATTGAAATTTATTCTTGCCTTTCTTTAGAATCTTCATAAAGCATTCTCAGCAGAAATATGCCTTATTCTTGTTATTTTTGAACACAAGGTTCTAAGGTTCCTCCTTTTTGACTATCTAGATTCCTATATGCTTCTTTCCTCACATGTGAGAGTTTGAACAAATAAATTATGCCATTCAGATCATAAGATGATCTTCAGCATCTTTTCGCACTCTTACCGAATGAGGAAAAATTAATAAACAGAACCAAGGCCAATCTGCGCAGCCATATAACGTCATACAATCACCCTTAGCGCCAGCTAAAAGCTAAAAATGACAGCCATATGCATGACCATCTGAAAACTTTAACAATTTTAGAATGTGAAATAGTGAGCAACTGGTTTACAAACTATTTTATCATCTATCAAAATCTACATGTTTAGATATTACTCGACTCGATATATTCAGTTATATAATCAATATGTTTGGATCTTTCTCAAAAGTATATATAATGCACAAAATTACTGAACAAAGTAGAAAACAATCTGAAAAGTGCCTTTTTCTTGAGCATCAGTAAACTGCTTACATTTTATGTTGAGTACTTTCTATTTTACTTTTCTAAATCAATGAGCATTACACATAAAAAATTAAAAGAGCTCTACAACATTTGTCATTCATTCAACACAAGTACGGTATCCCTATAACTTTCCTTCTCTTTAATAACCTGAAATTTCAGTGAAAGAATTTGTAACTATTACCAACAAAAATGTGAACATATATAAGCAGGGAAGATAACATCACATGGGTGGCTGTTTACCATTACAAAACAGGTACGGACATGGACATAGGCACTGAGACATCACCGGTGAAACTTGAATCCCTATTTGCAGCTGAGTTGCCTGCAAATGCATAACCGACACCCAGTCCACCAAAATGCAAGGAAGCATTTTCACACCTTTGAAACACTCTTGCAAGGGATGCCGCCTTTCTTCTCGCCCGCTTTGTACCAGTAAACAACAGAGTCTGAAGCAAACCAGCCAATGCTGGTGCCTTAACCACTCTCTCAGTTGTGGCTGCCCCACCACTCCTGCACAACTCGAGTAATGCTGCAACTGCATTCTCTTTCCCCCTCGGTGTTCCACACCTCATCATTCCAATCAACCCTGCCACTGCCATTTCCTCTTTCCCCACGGCTGCAGCCCCAATTTGCTGCCTAACAATTAAGGCCAATGCACCTGCTGCCTCCTCTGCAACCCCTTCGGTTCCCAATGCTCCAACTAGTGCTGCGACAGCTCCTGCCTCTATCATTCTCAGACAATTATCTGTGTGCGTAGATAGATTAAATAAAGCTGTGACAGCATCCTTCTTCCCTCTTCGGGTTCCAACTCTCAACAACCCCGCCAAGGCCTCAACAGCCCCACTCTCATCAGCTATTTTCTTCTTATAGTCATGAACTGCAGAGAGGCTAAACAATGTCGCTGCAGCATTTTCCCTGGCTTCTGTTGTGAGTCCAAACCTCAGGACTTCAACAATAGATGCCAAACACCCGTTCTCATCCATGATATGACTTTTGTTCTTGTCATAAATTGATAGATTAAGCATCGCAGTAACTGAGTTCTCTTGTGCAACAGGGTTATGAGATGAAAGTAGCTTGCGAAGATGGGGAATTGCACCAGCTTTTGCAATAAATGCACGGTTTTCTTTTCCAGTTTTAGCTAATAAGCGTATCTCCCGTGCAGCCAGAGTCTTTGCAGCTTGCAACCCATTTGCTAGCTGTTCGATGAGAAGCTCTGCTGTGGCTCTATTGGCTTCAATTGCAGCTTTACTAGGCAAAGCCGCAGCAAAAAAATCAGCAGATGTATCTGTAGTCTCTGGAGGGTCACAAGGAATTCCATGAGCAGTGCACCACTGCATAATTAAATTCCTCAAAGCTCGATTAGGAAAAAGTCGTGTATGGACAAGCATTTGGCCCGTCTTTGGACAAGAACAGTGCCCTTCCTCCAACCACCGGGTGATCGAACTCCTATCATAAGTCTGACCAGTTGAAATTATCACTGGATCATGCATCAAATCCAACGATATCGGGCAACAGAAGTCCTTAGGTACTGATAAAAAAGTATCCGCAATCTCTTGAGTAATCAATCCTTTTCTTGGCTTCTTCTGATTGCCTATTCCCAATCCCACCTCATCTTCCTCGAACCCAAATAGCAAAAACCTGCAATATCGTGTCACTGCAACAAACCCATTAAGGACAGCAGCTGTTGGCTCAACATCCCCCTCGTGGTTAGCAATTTGCTCTTCCAAAAACTCAATCTCAGTTCTACAACTCTTTGCATCTTTAATCTTCAAATTCTCCACAAAGAACGATCGCAACTCCACATGATTTGGTACCTTCCCATTCTCAAACTCATCAAGAAAATAAAAGAATTTAACCCTCAATGAATCATCATTTTTATCTATATACAATTTAGCCTTCTTAGCATGCCTCTGCATAAGGTCAACCTGCTCCCTAACATCGTCACTCAATTCAACATCATTAACTGGAAAAACATCCAAAAGGGTCGATATTTCTTGATTCAAATCATGAAAATGCCCCGAAATTGAATGATTTTGAATCAAAAGCCATAACTTACTGGACTGTCCACAATAATCAAGTAATATTTTGCACCTGTAAAGGAGCAAATACAGCTCCTTGAAACACAACATGGCCGTTGAGGGAAGAGGCGAACCCGAATCCCTTAAACATTCTAACAACACAAGAAAAACCTCGATCTTTCGAATTAAAGAACGAAAATTCTTCCTCTGAAAGAAGAAAGATTTTGTGGAAAAGCAAGAAACAAGCTCAGATGAAATAGTTACAAGGGTTTGTATAAGAGCGACATCGGTTAAGTCAACCGGAGCCAAGAACGCCTGTAAGGAAGGTGATCTCCGTCTCCGAAGAGACGAAAATATGGCCGCTGTAGCCATAAACTAGCTAAAAATGAATAACTCCACCCAACAAAATCAAGGATTTTGATACAACTAGATCTAAAATAACTATAGAAAACAATGAAAAAAACTCAAAGTCTATACATATAACAAAACCAACCCAAAGAATAATAATAAAAGAACAATGAAACAAAAAAAAAAAAAAAAAATTCGTCAAAGTGAGTAATAGACTACAAAGAAAGAAAGAAAATCCCTCACTCTTGTTGTTGGTTGAATCTTCAAATGAAGAAGAAGAAAAGGGCACAAATAAATAAAGGGTTTAAAAGTGAAATTTGTTTGTGTGCCGTATGCGCGTTTGTTAGAAAGAGAAAGGAACAAGAGAGTAAATTTCCAAGGTTCTGGTTCTGGTTTTGGTTTTGGTTTTGGTTCTATGAATTAAATTCAATGGAAGGGGGGTTTTGTGAAAATGACATGTACAGTTTTGACGCTTAATTTATCCAGATTCCTCCTCCTCCTCCTTTCTTCTTCAACTCCACTCTTTACATTTACATTTACATTTACATTTACATAAACAATTAAATCATTTTTCTCTACTCCTTTTATTTATTTATAGAAAATTTGCTATATTTTCTGTGGATAATAATAAACCCAATTATCCAGATTTTTTATTATTACCTCTCAAAATTACGGGTTTAGATTACACTTGTAATTAATTTAATATCATTTTATAAAACTAAACTTCTAGAAATTGTCAAATTATTGGAGTAGGTTCATTTCCGGGTCATGGAGAAGATTATAATTATATAAAAAATAAATTAAATAAAAGAGTATCAGGAGGTTAAATTTGAATATTCCTGAAAAAATACAAATAATAAAAAGAAAAAGAAAAAACTGGGATTTGGTTGGAAGGGTTGACTAAAATAAAGGCAGTGGACCCACGTGACTTTTGGTTTTTTGGGCGCGCGGTGGAATTTGGGAGGTCATTACTGTGTGGGCCACTTGTATTTACTGTTGAGTTTTTGTTTTTCCAGTTTGACTAAACTCAACGTTTTATCAAGTTAAAAGCTCCACAGTGAAAGTTGACCGCCCAGAGGCCATAACTACTTCTTTTTTACCTTTTTTATCAAAAGTAAAAAATGCTCAATTATTATATTTTCTTTCTTGTAAAATACGAGGGTGTTTGGTTTTTATTTTCAAAATATTTTTTTAAAGTATAATTTGATGATAAAAATAAATCATTTAATATTGTTGAAATTTATTAAATACCTTTTGAAAAAACATATTAAAAATATAAATATCCCATTTAAAAATAATAAGAACATGTTATAAAAATAGGAGTATCTAATATTTTTCAATAACTTTTGTGCATTTCATGTCTATGTAAATGTAAAGCCAACTAAAATATATCTAGGTGATCAAGTAATTTGATAAGGACTCTTAGATATATTATTCAAGAGGTCTTGAATTTGAGTCTCTCATTAGTTACTAATAGAGGTAACCACTAGAGTTCTTACCCAACCAGTAGTTCCAAAGTCTCGGAAAATTAGTTGAGGTATGTATAAGCTAGCCTAGACATTCCCGATCATTAAAAAAAAAAAAAATGTAAAGCCTACTAGTAGGGATAGACACTGGAACTCTCATCCGACCGATAGTTTCAAAGTCTTGGAAAATTAGTTGAGGTGCCCATAAATTGGCCCAGACACCCCTGATCATCAAAAAGGAAAAATGTAAAGCCTATTAGTAGGGGTAGCCACTGGAGCTATTACCCGGTTAGTAGTTCCAAGGTCCTAGAGAATTAGTTGAGGTGCGTGTAAATTGTCTAGACACCTCTGATAAAAAAAAAAAAAAATATGGAAATCCTACTAGTGTAGTTGAGGGAATGAGCATAATCCCTCAATGTTGTGAAATGGAATTGATGTTGTAATTTTGTTTTTATGTGTCTAGCGTGACTAAGAATGTCACTTTGATTTGTTTAATTTTTGTTAGAGAAAAACATCAAATGAATAAATTAAAAAGGTTTGACCAAATATTCATAATTGGATTAAAATACAGAAACGACCGGCTCCCCTAAAGAAATGACAAATGACATGAAGACAAGGTTAGGTACAATAAAATTAATTTTCTCATTCCCTACAAATGAAGGTGCCTTTTGGTTTTTCTTATTTGTTTCACTAACGCCAAAATAATTAATTAATTTCTTAAATTACTCTTCAATTTCATGTGGACTTAAAACCCAGAAAAGAAAAGTGAGTGATTAATTAGGTGAATTTAAGTGGGAGATTAGTAAAATGGTATACCACATTTTCCTACCAAATAATGGCTTAATGACACTTTCCCACCCAAAACTTTCAAAACACAACTTTGTTATCCAAAGCACATTTCCGTTAGTAAATTTCGTTGTGAAGAATGGTATGAGGGTCAAAATTATGTTATAAGTAAGGGTAGGATTGTCAATTTAAAATTCCACTTTGTTGAGAAAATAGCGAACGGTGAAAGGAGGCGACGATTCACGGCCAACAAACGATGAGTAACCAAGTGCCGAGGTTCGAGGGGTTTTGAAGAGGGGGGGTCGAAGGTTGAAAGGGTGGTGGAAGATTGGATTTTGGTTGCTGGAATCTGGCAGAATCGACACAAAAACAGCAAAACCCTAGGTGGTGGAGAGTAGCGAACGGCATGCAAATGACGTCAGGAAGGTTAGGGGTTTTGGAGATGGGAGGCCAGTGAGTTGATTGGTGGTTCAAAAGGGATTTCTGTTGTTGAAAGCAGCCGAAAAAGAGCAAGAATCGCACGAACCAACCGTGTGCGGTGGCCAGCGAATGGAGGGATTAGAAGGTGACCTGCTTTTTGGGTGGTTGTTTTTGTTTGGGTTTTGTGATTATTGAAGTTTGGATTAGGTGAAGTTTGATTGATTTGGTTTTTTGGAAGTTGATTGGTTTTCTGGACGGAAACTTCTCCCACATTTCCCAGAAGCTTTACTTTTAAACTACCTATCACATATTCAATAGAATTCCCCAATGAACTGCCCACCACCAAGCAAGCTAGCATGCATGGAAAGCCTTTACATGCACGCCCATCACGTGCGCGAGATCGCCCGGCACCCAATGCATGCGCCACATCCCTCTTGCCCCTGCACAACCACCAAATAGCCCCATCAGTTACCACAAACACCAACCCCTGTGCCACTCACCACCCCAACACACCTCTCGTTTTCTCACCAATCACCGACGATTGAAGCTTCCCCACTCTAGGGTTTTTCGATTTTTGATTGATGAATTGAGTTTGATTTGTTCGGTTTTTTATGCTTGTTGGGTTGAAAGATGATTGAGGAAGGTTTATTTGAAGTGGTCATGGTTTATTTGTTGATTTTCCGGTCACCAGAAGTCTCTAACACCATCACCTTCTACTGTTCCCAGCGTGCACAACATCCATTCGACAAAAGGTCAACGACAATTGTCAATAGTGAAAAAGGCTAAGAAGAGAAAAGAGAAAGGTATTTTCGTTTTCACAATGAATATCACTCTATTTAACAAAAATTATTAACAAAACATAATGTTTGGGTAATAAACTTGTATTTTGAAAGTTTTTGGGTGAGAAAGTGTAAGTAAACCATTATTTGGGTGGGAAATGGTAGGTTAATCTTACTAAAATGGGTTATCAAAACATGTTTAAATATAGGTGCAACAGAAAAGGTTGGTGGCTAGTGTTGTTTCTTTAAAAGTTTTGGCTTAATGTCTTCGTCAGTTTGGTCTTGTTTGGTAAGGCCAACAACAAGCCATCTTTAAAATCAATTAATTCTTTATTTTCATTATAATTAAATTAACCTTTTTAACAAATATAATCGTTTTTTTCCAAATTTGTAACTGTTGTTGGAAAAATAAAATTAATATTTGGGGGTGTTTGGATCATATAATGTTTTATTATAGGGGGATGTTATATTAGCAGAAAGATATATCACCTTGAAGATTACTCAAAAGTTTAGGAAATGTATTTGGTTGATTCGAATAAATTGGTGAATAATATATTTGGTTGGGAGGATAAATGGGTTGGTATGTTATTTAAATTACTAAATTGCCCTCTTTTTTAAATATTAATATAATATTATTTTCATTATTATTTTTTGAATAGTTTTTTTAAGCCCTTACATTTGAAATTTTTCTAAAACACCCTAGCCATATAAAACTTTAATTTATAGTAAAATCACCCCCACCCACCTAAGCCACTGCTAACAGCTAGCCACCACCGTAGGTCGCAGCCGACAATCGATAGAATGGCCTATGACTGGCCATATATGGCCGACTGTGCGCCGACAAAGCCATTTCCAACCATGGATCACAAATCCATGGCCATTTTATGGCCAAATATGTGACCATAAAATGATCAAAGATGTAGCCGTGAAACAACTAGATCTGGCTATTTTCGGTGATGGATCTGAAAAGGCCTTACCAACACATGATCGGCCAAATTCCGTCGATCGTGCACCATTACGGCGATTGACGTCGACAGTCGGTAGTGGTCTTAGGTGGTTGGGGTATTTTGTTAACTTTTAAACTTTTTTGTAGCTAAGGTGTTTTAGCTAAATTCTCAAATGTAAGGGGGTTGAGTAAGTATTATTTGGTAGACATTTGAGGGCAATTGTATCTGAAATGGTATTTAATTAACAAATTACTTTGTAATCTTTTAATAACAGCCATAGGGGAGGATATCAGATTACCTCATACATTACTAACAGTAAACGCTATTTGCAATAAAAGACACCCGTAATATTTTATAACTTGCAAACCAAACACTAGAATCTTGCAAAATAAACGAAGATTACCCCCGTTATCTTATATACCCCCGATCCAAACGCATCCTTTATGATAGTAATGACTAATGATAACTTCCTTTGATGTTTGGTTAATTAACTTTTTTTGTGATCGAGATGTCTGGGCCAGTTTGCACGCACCTCTACTAATCTCTCAATGACCTGAAGTTAAAAACCAGGTAAACCCTCTAGTGACCACCCCTGTTAATAACTGAGGGGAATCGAACTTAAAAGTTCTTGAATAATACATTCAAGAATATTTATCGTCCCACCTGGTCAGTAAAGGGTGGTTAATTAACTAAAAATTCCTTTAAGTTTATGAAATAACGTAAATTATTGTCCTTAAATTTTTAACTGTTAAAATGAACAACAATAAGGTAATTCTATAGATATTTATAAACTTACATAAACTAATATTATAACATTTAGTTAGTGGTTCGTTAATGGATAAGAGGATTTTTGTAATTAATATCACATTTCATGGGATTACTTTTTAAATAAAAAAATTGAGAAATTATAAAGTATATATCTTAATTTCCCTTTTTATTGAAGTTAATTTTAATATAGAATATAAATTATGAATTTGTAATATAAATATATTAAA